GAGGTGGGACCTGGGGGCTGGAGGTGCTGGGTGGTTCTGCTCTGCCTGGAGGGGTTGGTTCTGCTGTGCCAGGGTGGTTGGTTCTGCTTTGCCAGGGGTGGTTGGTTCTCCTCCAGCACTTGTGCATGGCACAGCTAAGATCCTGGAGACACCCGCATGGCGGAGGGGAAGGGATGGGAGTGAAGAAGGGAAGGGATGGGAGTGGAGCAGGGTGTTCCCCATGCTGTCCCTGCTCCCCTCACGCTGTCCCTGCTCCCCTCACGCTGTCCCTGCTCCCCTCACGCTGTGTCCCTGCTCCCCTCACGCTGTGTCCCTGCTCCCCTCACGCTGTCCCTGCTCCCCTCACGCTGTCCCTGCTCCCCTCACGCTGTCCCTGCCCTCAGTGGGAGCCCATGCGTGCCCTGCAGACAGCCGTGCTGCAGCACCACCGCTCCATGAACCCCTGCCCGCTCTACGACGAGTTCACGGGCACCCTCTTCCTTTTCTTCATCACGGTGCTGGGCAGGACACCTGAAGCCTACCAGATCGCCACCGGCCAGAACGTCACCCGCCTCTGCTGCGTCACCAGCACCGACCAGGGCCTGAGCTGGAGCGCGGCCACAGACCTGACCCAGCAGGTCATCGGTGGGACCATCAAAGGTGGGACCGCTGGAGAGTGGCCAAGGGGATGGGGGGCACAGCCAAGGGTAGGGAGCACCTGGGTTGGACCTCCTCTGCTTTGGCTGGAGGTGGCCTTGGAGTAGGAAGCCTATAAGCCTTGAAGAAATGGGGTGGGAGAGGAGCCTCCAAGCAGAGGAGAGAGGGTGGAGAGGGTATCTGTGCCACCTGCATGGAGGGAAGAGGAGATGGAGAGGTCCTATAGCTGGGGTTAGGACTGGAGGAGGAGATTGGAGCATCTCCCTGGTGAGGAAAGGCTGAGGGAGCTGCGGCTGTTCAGCTGAGAGACTTTGTTAATGCTTGTAGGTATCTCAGGGTGGGTGCAGGGAGGATGGAGCCAGACTCTGCTCAGCAGTGCCCAGGGACAGGATGAGGGGTAATGGGCACAGGCTGGAATGTGGGAAGTGATGTGGAAATAGGGGGAGAAACCTCTTTATGGCGAGGGTGACAGAGCCCTGGGACAGGCTGCCCAGGGAGGCTGTGGAGTCTCCATCCCTGGAGACATTCAGACCTCTCTGGGGAATGTGCTCTGGGTGATCCTGCTTTGGCAGGGGGGGGTTGGACTGGATGGTGTCTAGAGGTCCCTTCAGTTCTGTGATTCTGTGACCACCTGTGAGGACAACCAGGCAGCGCTGGGCTCTGCTCCCCCCCCACCCAGGCTGGGGGAACACCCTGGAGCCCCTTCCCCGTTGGGCACGGCAGGGGCACCGTGGAGCCCCCTCCTCATGCCCCCTCCTCCCACCTCTGCTCCCCAGAGTGGGCCACCTTCGCCCTGGGCCCCGGGCACGGGATCCAGCTGCGCTCGGGGCGGCTGCTGGTGCCCGCCTCCCGCTACCAC